ATTACAGTAAATGTATCTACACGAAATACATCTACATTACAAAAAGCAATAGATCAAATAATAAACAAAATCACAACTAGATATGAAATAAAAAATACTAATTTAGGTTACAGTGACCACGATACACAATTCTTACTATTACTAAAAACATGAACACTGACACAATCTATACACGCATGTGCCGAGCATTCACTAAAGCTAACATAAATTTATTTACGGACTACTTGCTGAAGGAATCATGGGACACAGTTTATAACGCTATTGACACAAATGAAAATTATAATACATTATTCTCAATTTCTTCATTTCACTTTAACGCATGCTTTCCTCTCAAAAAGAGGAAATTAAATATTTCACAAAAAATAATACTTGGATCACACAAGGTATAAGAACATCGTGTAAAAACAAACATACGCTTTACTTAATTTCTATACATCGTAACATATCACCCTGTTTCCATGCCTACTTCCGAGAATATTAAAGAATTTTAAGGAAAGTAATAGATCAGGCCAAAATAATGAAAAATAATCAGGATATTTTGAACGCTAGCAACAAAAGTAAAGCAATGTGGAATATCGTAAAAAATACGACCACATCATCTCGTTACTTAGTAGAGAACGTTGTTTTAAAGGATAACGAAAGAGAAGCAAGTAATCCGGAAAAAGAGGCTTATCTCTTTAATCAACATTTTTCTAGAATTGCGGCTGAACTCTCAAAGGGACTAAAACCACAAAAATTCAACATCATGGCCTTGCCAAAAACTTTTCGACACTATGTTCATTTCCGAGACTTTTTCTAACGAAATCCTGAAAATAGTAAACTAAAAAATAAATATTCTTCTGCTTTAGATGAATTTCCGGATTGTTTATTGTATATTGAAAACTTGTGTACCTGCCTTTATACACCCGTTGAGTCACATTTTCAATGCTTCTTTATGCACAGGAATATTTCCAGATATTTTCAAAACAGCAAAAATTAAGTTACTCTTTTAAAAAAAGAAAAATTAAATTTAAAATTACCAACCAATTTCTCTTTTGAAGGGCTTCTCAAAAATATTAGAAAGGCTTTTCCATACGCCAATGGAAACTTTTCTCAGAAAAAACGAATCGTTTTCAGACTCAAAACACAGGTTTAGAAAAACAAAATCTACGGAAACTGCCATTTTTTTCTTAAAGATGTTGCTTTCTCAATGGACCAAAATGAAGCACCCATTGGAATATTTTTAGATCTTTCGAAAGCTTTTGACGTTATTGACCACATCTTGCTATCGAAATTACCTTCTTATGGAATTCGTGGTATCGCCCTAGACTGGATAACCTCGATACTTAAACATCGATCACAAAGAGTAGAAATATCGTACTGGCACAAAAGGACATAACTTAATTATCTTTCCAATTCTTGACCAATTGAATATGTGGTTCCGCAAGACTCGATCTTAGTTCTTATCCTCTTTCTGTTGTACGTAAACGATATGCTCCTGTCTATTAAAAACGCAAGAACGGTTGTTTTTGCTGATGACACGAATCTTCTTTGCAAAAAAGAGAGAATAAATAGTACGATTTCAGAAGTTTCAAATTTGTTTTGTAATAACAAATTAATATTTAACGAAGGAAAACAGTTTCAATGAATTTTTGCATTTCAAATCAGATAATCGCATGCTCCATTGAAAATAAACCATATGCAATTAGCTGATGTTCAGGTAACATTTCTATGTCTCTCAATTCAGTCAAACCTCAAATGGAATATACATATAACAAAATGAAACACTAAATTAAGTTCATTATGTTACGCATTCAGAATTCTTTCAAATTCTGTCAGCCTTGATGCAGCTCGTTGCATGTGTTTTGCAAATGTTCATTCCCACCTGCGATATAGCATAAAATTCTGGGGAAACTCATCGTGTAGTAATCAGACCTTTGGATTGCAAAAGAAAATTATTCAAATAACGCAAAAATGCCATCCGCATGATTCCTGCAAAGCCTATCTGCATTGAGCTTGGAATCTTACCACTGTCTTGCCTATTTATTTTGGAATCTGTAATATTTGTCAAAACTGACTTACTTAACAATGGGAACGTATTTTTATGCAATACTGACATTTGTACTTACAACACACGTCAGAAATCACGTTCATCAAGGTCAGTTTCAACAGCTCACTATCAGAAATCCGTATACAATACGTGTACGTTACTTTACAGCGCATTGCCAGGTGACATTAAACATTTGAAGTCGGTTCACAAATTTAAGTTAAAAGTAAAAAAAAGTCTACTGCAGAACTGTTTCTATACAATATGAGACTATATTGATTATCAAAAATAAAAATAATGTTTATTTTAACAAAACAGTGGTATATTGGATTAGTTTACATTTGTATTGTATATTTTTTTAAATAGACTCAATATGTTTGTAACAAATAATGTAATTAAGCTTCCGGGTCAACGAGCCTCATCTTGATCAGGTTTTTGTCCTGTTTCCCTGATTCATTGAGCAAATGCTGAGATAGCCTCTTGGTTTGCTTCTGGACGTAAACGTGCACACGTTTTGTTGAACTCTCCTTTTGTTTGTAATGGTAGGAGTAGAGGTAAGGGCGAGTTACTTTTCTGTTAGCAATGCAGAAAAATCATACCTGCAATTCGTTTACCGATGCAAATAAGTTTTCTATGACTCGGAAACGAAAATATCTATTTTTCCAAATATTGCTAATCTCACTATTTTTATTTATTTATTTTAAACTTTTATTCATCTTCCAATATTTGTAGTTAAAATGATGGGAAGGGATTCTGGAACTCAAAAAAACGTGCGCAGATGATCTTCTACTCCAATACGTCCCATACAGTTTTTACTGTTTTTTTTTTTTTTTTTACTAAATAAATCTAAATCTAAACACACCAGACTCAACAATTTCATTTGATTCGACTCGAATCATAAGGTTAAACATTGCAAAGAGTAGTAGGGTTGTACTTGCTCGAACCAGCATTTTCGCGTGGACAACTTGGCGTAGCTTTCTCTGGAATAAAACACTTATCTGATATTGCGTAACTATCAAATTAATAGAAAATCAAACTGTCAAGGAAGATTGTATTGTTACTTCAAATGAAGTTTTTAAGGAAGTGTTGTGAATTGTTGCAAGAACTGAGACGAGTGCAGTACCTACCAAAAGGATTGAAAGACGAGTTTTCGTACCTAATACGAAATCTACGGTATCTAATATAATCTACGGTACCTAATGGTTGTAATTACGTCAATTTAATACTTTTTACGTTCCTTAATTATATTAATGGAGTATAATGTGGTTGGTGAAAAGGGGATTTTCAACAATTTTGGTCATAATGAAATTTTCATAATGTCAAAAGTTGTGGAAAACTTTCTTTTCACAAAATATCATTATACTCCATTAATATAATTAACGTATGTTTTTACTAAAATATGTTTTTAACTTTTCACTTGCTGTTTCTTATTAATTGAATAAAAAGTTAATACCAATTTTTGAAAACGATAATTCCTCTTTAAAATATGTAGCCTTTTGGCAAGGTGGCAACCCTACAGCTTACTCATAATTATTTCACTCATATGCGAAGTTAATTTCGTTTAATTGAATTAGATAATATGCTTATTATTTCTGCAGGTCGGTTTATGTAACATGGCACAACATTACAATTTACGAACATTACAAATACGAATTCGGTGAGTGTGTTTAATCACATGTATTGGCGGCATTTTTCAGAAAATGGAAGAATATCAATCTACATAACATTAAGCCTAATAAAATATTTTTAAAATCTTTCAAAATTGAATTTTTCTGACCTTGCTACCAAATTTTTATTCATTATTTAAAATCAATTAAGCTGTGACAAGATTGCGGAAGTGGCATCACTGCGAGGGAAGTGCCTGTTGCATGCAAAGTGAATAAAATTGTATTCGGAGAATACTTCTTGCTCAACTGTTTCATACAAACGGAAACCGACCTTTGAAAAATATCTCTAGCTTATTGAAAATAAACCTAATAAGAAAGTTAATTCATGTTAACAAACCGATTGTAGAAACTGATTACTAATCGTATTAACGCAATTGGTTAATGCCGATATACGTGGCTTGCGCAAAACTATACTGGAGTTTGGAGTTCGTAATAAATACAGTTAAATGTTTCAAATAATCGATTGTTCAATGGTACACTTTTTCTATGATTTTAATGAATTGATATATTTTATAACAAGATCGTATGGCTTCTCATATTTTCGTACATGTAGTCGGATCTTTTCTGTCAAAGAGCCTATACTGGCACTTTGTCTCTCGTTTCTCCACTTGCTAATATTTAATCCCGGTTTTCCGGTTTTAGGCTACCAGTTATAATATAACAATTAACTGAACAGTTAAATTTTAATACATGCACGATGTCAGATCCAATTCTTTAACATTGCCTAACAAGTTCATTAGCTACTGAGAATGAAATTGAAAATTTGTGAATTTCGATCACAAATAATGAGATGTCTTTTAACTTGGTAACTGTATACTTAGTTTGCAATTTGACTAAATATAGTGAATTCATGAGTAAAGGGTTAAGTTGACTGAAACTGCCATTAAAATTAAAGCATCTCATTTTTCGTGAACGTTTACGTTGTTTTGAGAAGACATTTTAAGTACCGTTCTATGCTTTCGATTATACCATAGAGAACAATTCTCATTGTCAGTTACACTTAAAATTATATTTTATTATTCGTATTTAATTTTCAAAATTTCTGTTAATTATTAGATTCGTTCTTAAAATTTGAAAATTTTGAGCGCCGAATGAAGAGCGTGTAATTGCCAACATCAGAGAAATAATTAGATCGTTAGATTAAATCATTGTACTGCCAAATATTTGGAAATATACATAGTCGTGTTAGGTTAGAATGAAACGTCATTAAAGCGAGTTTTATTTATTTGGTAAGCCAATTTTCTGGCGTAGTCTTTCATTTTTCAAAACTTTCTTTTCCTGATGTTGGAAGTCGGCACCAACAGAGCGGCTAGCGACGGCATAGACTCGTCTCATTTGTTTGGAAAACTGTCTAGGTGAAGGAAGTTTTTGCATTCTCGTAAGAGGAGATCGAGGAGAGAGTTGACGCTAAGATCGTTGTGGCTGGTGGGATTGGTTGTAATATATCACGTATGTTGATTACATTTTGGTATTAATTTTCCTTTAAATTGTCGATTTAACTGAGTGCCATTCATTGAGCGAGTGGTTGGCTGTATCGCCGAGTTATTGATTACGAGGATACAGTTACCTGAAATTATGGATCAGGAGGGGGAGATAGCAAAATCTGAAGATGCCTGTACCTCGGCGATTGAGGATCAGCATCCCCTGAAAAGCTCATGTAACGGAGAAGGGAAATTAACATTGTGTATAAATAGCAATGATCATGAAAGTTCAGAAAAGGAAACCCCCGATATTTACAATGACAAGGTGAACAATGGAAATATTTCAGAAGAAATTACTGATAAGCACGTTTCTGGTAGTTCTGATAGCGACACTGAATCTGACGATGCGTCAACCATACGAAACGAGAGCACAAACGAAAACGCGGAAAGTTTCAGCATCTTGATAAACGATGATAAACAGGAGGATATTGACGAGAACTTAGGAAAACCAACTTCTCACAACGAAGATCAAGGGAATATTGAACAAAATGATGTATCCCCCATTCTTACTGAGCAGTCTGATGATCCTCCCAATCTTAGTACTGAAAATGGTAAATGTAGTACAGGTACCTCAGATAATACACACAAAGAATTTGAACACATTGCAAATGAAATTGAAGAAGTAACTCCCAAAGCTAGTTTGCTTTCCGGTGGTTCTAAAGATGAAATGATCAAGCCAATTACAGATGAGAATATATTACTTACGAAGGAGGAAATTGAAGTTAAATGGAGTGAGGGAATGCAAGAGGAGCTAGGCTGTGAATTAATTGAAGATGAACAGGGAGCTGAAATTAAAAATCTTGAATGTAGTTCAAATGTAGAAAAAGAATTGTTTGGAAAGGTAAGTTCAATATATATTTTCATTCTGTTTTCTCATTGAACAATCATTACAAATTAGATTTTTATCGTCTCTTATAATATTGTTAACTATGTTTCACACCTTGTATAAGAAGGTTTCTTTAGAGCAAATATATGGCTTTAATTTTAGAATCGGTGTCCAATTCCCATGGAGAAGCATGTAGTATCTCATTTTATAGGGCCTACTATATATTTTTTATGAAAATCGGTTTGTAATTTTGATTTAATTCTTTAAATACTATGGTATATTAGTAGTATTCATACTTGTGCAAAACTGTCAACTAAAAAAGTATCAACCATTAGGATAACAGTAAAATTAAGATCATGATAGTTGGTTAAGTTACTTCGCTCTGTTCTTAATATGAAATTAATTGTATTCAAATATCTGGTAATGTTTTCTTTGGAGTTAGTTCATTCATTCTGTTAAAATAATGTTGTTTTTTTTTCATATTGATTTTCATCTTTAGCCTTAAATGGATTCTTTTAAATTTAATATTTATTTTCAATAATGAAATGTATCAACCTTTTTTTTTCTAAAAATGTTCCTTACAGGAGGAAAATGATTTATTACCATCATTATAAAATAATAATAATAATAATAATAATAATAATAATAATAATAATAATAATAATAATAATAATAAATATTATTCTTATTTTTTACTCTGGATAATCCCAAATTGTAAGTCACATTAATGCAAAATAAAAGACAATACTAAGTATTTGAACTTGTCAATTGATTCTAATTCTAATTATCTGATGCAGATAACATTGAATAATTTACTTGCTTCATTATGATGTCCATAACAAACTTCTTTCATTACAATGATAATTATAGGCTCGCACATGGGGTGCCAGTGAGGCCATTCCTCCCCACAAAATGTTGAAAGGGGCCTGGTAGCATTATGTGATAAAACATTTTATTTCAACGTTCAATCCCTAATTTTCCCTTTTATTAACCTGACAAATTCGGGAATTGTTATGGCATTTAAGGTAGAGACACTCCGAACGATCTGACAATACTGTAAATGGTTCAACATTAAATTGGATGTATTTATTGTAATATCATTTAAAATGTAATTTCATTCTCCTTTATTTTTTTTTGTAATTTACTAGTAATATATGTCATGTGTGAATAAAAAAATTCAATGGAATGAAGCCCAGAAATGTAGTCCTCCCCCCCTTTTGTTTTCGGCTGTATATATTGCTGATTAAAGTAATATCCAGAAATGTGTTGTGAAATATCATGTGGACATTTATACTTCAATCATTTGTGATGAAACAGTTGATTGAATTATCAGTGTTGCGTGTTTTCAAAGTGTTATTAAATATAATACATTAATATTGCAAAAAATTATATTTAAAACAGGGGAAAAGATACAAAAAAATTCTGAAAAGAATGAATTGATTCTCCCTACAGTATCATTGTTTTGTTAATTGTTATAGGGGGAATTGATTTTTTAATGAATTTGATATTAGACCACATTTTGTAGGAAACATGTGATCCACATGAATGTGGTGACAACTTAATTGCAAATAAAGCAGAAGAAGGATATGCAAACCGGACACCAGGAGTAGAGGTTATAGGCCCAAAAACGAATGATGAAATGAAGAATAACCTTTCTGAGAGAGACAAATCAACAGAGGATATAAAAGATCCTCAAAGACCACGTAGCCGCACCTATCCTTTCAAAGTACTTGCATCAGGATTGCCATTGGGGTAATATTTGTGAACCAAATTTTTACAAGAAATAATTGAATTCAATTATTATTAATCTTTAAATGTTTTGGTTGATAATATTAAAAGCAAATTGAAAATGTATGTATATGCACAAATTTGAAACTTCCATTCTAAATAGTTATTTGCTTTACATGTTATTTTGAACAAACGTTGATTACGTTTGTATGCTTAAATTGGAAAGTATGTTGTAGTGATAACTTTTATTAAAGAGATTTCTTAGAATTTTACACACAAAGAAAACTAAAATCAAAACATTTTTTTCAGTGCAAGGCGAGAGGATGTTATGTATTACTTCTCTCAGTTTGGAGAAGTTTTGAAATTGTGGGATGAAGGTAGACACCGAGCAAATGTTTTATTTGCTGATGAAGAATCTTTCAAGGTGAGTTTCATAATCTCTTTATTATAGCATCAATATAACATCAAAAATAATTATATACTTCTATATTATTCAGTTTAAATGAATAGTAAAACTTAGAAGCATTGTAGTTTATTATTTTAAGATGAAAAAGACGTTCCCCATATAATTTGTATGATGTATTAAAAAAATTAAAAGCTTCAACCATTGCAAATGAAATTTGAAAATCAAATTTTAATGCAAACAGCATTTAATTGCCTGTAATAAATGAGTTTAAAATCAAAATTTTGTTTTATAATAATATTAATAATAAAAATAAAAATGTTTAAAAAGAAGTGGGGATGGCTTATTTGTGCACATTTTCTTGAGCCCTGGAAGACCTATTCCCACTTCTATTCTAACATTACTTGAGTGCAGAATAAATTATAGCAAGGTGAGTTGTTGACATAATCTGAAATTCAGAAATGCTTGCTTCTGTCTATTTTGCATTGAAACACAAGCTACAGATTTGATATAATTGTCCAATGGACTAAATTATCAACCCTCCCACTCTCTTATGAAATGAGGCTTCCAGAAAACTAGCACTTATGTGTCCTAAGTAATTGTTTCATCCATCTTTGAAGTATTCAAATTCTTTAAAAAAATATTGTTACCAGCCTTCTAGGACGTTTTTGAGATACTCATTATAAATCAAAATTGCCAAAATAAAAAGAAAGTATCAGTGTAGGATTACAAACATTTATTATATGTGCTTGAAATTATTCTGAAGAAATGCTGTTTTATTTCTTTTGAATTTGGGTCTGTAATATTATTTTTTATCTAATCATGTGTTTATTCCCTAAGTGAGCTTCTTGTATGTGGTCTTTAGGTTTGTGGGTATTTTTATCCTTTCTTTTTTATGAGAGATTGTGTAACTGTTCTCTTTCATGACCTATACAATTAGGGAATAGCACTTACAGATATATTCTTTGTGATGACGGAGGCTTCTAAAATCTTTGAAAACATCTATTGAATAAATCAGTTTTTTGAACTTATTTTATCAGGCTTCTGCCATTCCCTTCCTGAATCTGTATTTTGTTAGGTAGCACATGACATTTGGTTAGTGATGTTTCTGTTGTTCAAATAATAGTTTTCTACTTGCCAGCTAGGGGTAGAGCTGTGTTCACATAGAACTGTGTTACCACTTACTCAGGCAGCAGACACCTGGTGATGTGGTATTCCTGCCTCAGATCTCAACAGTAAACAAGATATAAATCATAATGAGAGCACAAAACAGTAGAACAACAGAAACACACACATGTTGCATAACTGCAAGTAAAAGCACCAAAAGGCACTCTTCAATTTTGTTTCTTCATGCTGTTAATTTTTATTCCCCTTAATAAGCATTGGCAATTATGCAGTGACATCATCACAATTTGAAGCCTGTGTTTGGATAATGGAACCCCCTCTCCATAGCCAGCCACTAGCTGTCAAGTAGACAAATATTATTAAGATAATAATAGCCAAACTGGGAAGATATCTTATGTGGTCTCATCATAATTAAGTACTGCAAAAATTACCATCAATTGAATGTATGTCTTAAATTATGTGAATTGCTCTATGGATTTTATTACAATGGATGATGATTTGAATGGTAAAATGTAATTTCATATTATCTGTTAACTTAATTGTAATTATCCGACTACTTTGGAACTGCAGCCCCAAATTCACTTATGCTCGCTCTGCGATATTGCTCATGTTTATACTTGTTTAAGTTGTCACTGCAGAACTCTCTAACTTTCTTTGTTGCAAATTATAATGAATTATTTGCCGAACACTATGAGGAACTGCACTACATGGAAGTAAAGATTATTTGTTCAAGGATTTTGTAGGCATGGGTTTGTACATTTATTTTGTGATTTCTGATCTTTATGAGAAAAAGTGCTTGTGTGCTTGCAGGGGAAGGTACGGAAGACGTTTCAGGCATCTGGAGACCTTTACATGCTGTATTATTGTGCTCATGGTAAAAGAAATTGTCAGTTCATGGTCATCTTAGAATTGACAAATTATTATTACTTTCAATGAATTTTTGGATAAATACATTCACATTTACTTTCACATTTATCCAGTAAACCTTGTTAAGATTACATAATTGGCATTTGAAATTTAAAGATGGGTGAGTTTGAAGTATTTGCTTGGTGATTTTTGGCCTGAAATTAAGTTTGCTGTGTTTCAAAAGTGAAAAGTAAACGTTTTGAGTTTTTATTGATAAAACAACTTTGAGCATCCCTTATCTATTCATACAGCCCTACTAACACTGTCAAAAATTACATACAATTAACAATATTTATATTGGCAAATTATGTAGTATCATCATAATCATCATCATGATTAACTAGTAATGGTTAGGTCAGCATTAACTGTTTCTTTCAGAACCAGTCATTAAGGGGTTCCTAGGTTTTGCCATCTTAGTTTCAATCTTCTGCTTTTTCTCACTTCTAGGTTTGTATGAGAGAGTCTTTTTCACACATTCGTGTGTGTTCGTTCTCTTGATTTGGTTTGGTAATCTGGTACTACTTTGACTGTATTTTTGGTTATCAGTCTTCTGCATGACCACGTTTCCAGCTGTATCTTCATTTAATATTTAAAATTTACCTCAAATATCTCCTTTCACTGCAGTAGTGTGATTGGTTTAGATACTATATTGTGTAGTCTAATTTTTGTTTTAGAGATTATCTTTTTGAAATGTTTTGATGCATCCATTAATTTTGTTATATCTAGCCAATTTCATTTCAAAATAATCATTTTCTAATATAAAATTGTTTCCTAATATGCAAAATTTGTATCATGTTCTATAATTACAATTTTAAGTCTCTGGTGTTCTTTTCCTAGCATTCTCATAGCGTCTGTCTTTGTTAGTGATATTCTCATTCTATATTCTGCAATCTTTAACAATTTAATAGTTTCTTTTTGGAGGTTTATTTTGTTTTCTAAATCATCTGGTCATATCTGCATGCAGTATCATCTTTGTTATTTTATGTTTCAAAATTATACCATATTTTCATCGTGTTAATATTAGGTTAATCTTAAACAGTAAGTCTGATGTGCAGGTTTGGTAATATGATTGTGCTGTTCATTTCCCTTCTAGTGTTTCATTTTTCTTTATTTTGTTTTAATTAATAATTATGTTATTTATTCTTTGTTAGTATAGCTCTTTAATGCTTGCTTACTATTAAGTGTTTTTTGAATTGTTTATTGTTTAAACTTTATTGGTTGTTGCTCGTTTGTATGCATTTTTATCTTTGTAAACTTTTTCTTCTTTTACTCTTTACCTTGAATCTTTGATAATTATAAAGTCTATGGTAAAGTTAGTACACCTTGATTCCCAAGTGTATGTACAATTTCTTTGGGTTGAAATCAAGTGTTAAATTACAATTAAATTGTTATGTACTCACAAATCTGTTTCTATTTTTCCATTTTTAAAGACTACTTTTTCTTGTCGTCCTGTCTTGGATGGTTTGATTTATTGCCCACCCTGACATGGCCCAAGATCTCCTGCTAGTATTAGCAAGTCTTTGTTTATTTTGCCTTTAGCATTCTTCAAACTTTTCTTTAATTTTTTCTGCAGGAAGAAACTTTTCTCCTTACCTTGTTGTTTTATGCGACTCAATTTCCAGTCTTACTTTTGTTGTCCTTTCTGATATCCATTCATTGTTTAATATTTTATTGCTTAGATACTTTTAAATTAAATTTACATTGATATTGAAATAAAAATTACTTTTTTATTTGAAAAAATTACAAGAAGGCTGTCATTGTGTCCAGTTTCACGTGTTGAAGATTTTTTTGTGGTAAAATTTCTTTTTGTGGAATTAATGCCGATAAATATGTTATTGTTTATTTCCTACAGAAAGCAGTGTTTGCTCCTGATCCCTATTTTGATGATCATAAGTTAATGATACGCAGCTTAAATGAAATTACAACTATCATTTCGGGGATTCCTAGAAGTATCTCTGCAAAAGATGCAGAGAAAGCACTTAAATCTGCACTGGAGGAAGCTGGGGTTGCACCTTGTAGGATTGTTGTACCGTCAAGTGACCCATCTGAAACCACTGAAGACAATTTGAATCAGGGTCATGCTCTTGTTGCCTTTTGTGATCCACTAACTCTCCAGGTAAGATGAAACATTTCTCTGTTTGTGTTGTAATAAAATTAAAACCTTATTTGCCAAGAATTCTGAACTGTTCTTATTGACTGAAGTGTTTTTTCATTCAAGAAGAATTTTATCATTAATGAATATGACTTGTTAAAAATACAAAATATTTATGACTAATTTCCCTTTGACTCTTATACAAAACATTGTAAACTTATGTTAAGTGTGGATTAAGAGAAATATGGTTACACTTCTGTGAAATATGGAGTGGAAATTAAATGATGGATTATAGAAATGAAACTTTTCTTATGTTGTAGTTTTTCCCTTCTAAATAAACAACTGATGAATCTTCAAATAATTATAATGTACTCTAAAATTAATTTTTTGCTGTTTAACTCTTGATTTTTATTTGATTTAATGTTATGTCAAAATTCAAGTAAATAAGGGTTTGATTAATATTTAATTTTGGTTTCCAGAAAGCGGAAGATATACAGAGTAATAATCCTTTTATGATCACTGGCTGTCCACTGAAATTGTATTCTTCATGCAATGATTTCTATGATAAATTTTGCATACGTATTTTCCCATTACCTGCTGATAAACAACGTGCAGTTCTCTACCATAATTTACATGCAGCATTTAAACCTTTTGGAGAAATTGTGGCAATTATATGCCAGTTTGTTGCAAATACCTCGTCATACACAGGCTATGTGTTGTTTGAGTCAGAAGATTCAGTACAGGTAAGACTGCAGAAATGTGTTTTTAATTTTTAGACCACAGTGTTGTACGCATTTTTATAAAACAGTTCATAAAAGTTTGTTTATATCAAACATACTGTACAACTTCATTATTGAAGCTAAAGGATACTTTTTTCATGGTGCTATTGATTATTTGGTACTAGGATTTTGAACTTGCATCTTCAAATACTTGCAGCTTACTTGCATTAATGTAAATTACATTTGAGAGAATAATCTGCATGAATACTGGAAGGCTGGCTAACTCCATGTAGCTATGTGGAAGCCACACTACCAAACCACAGGCAATGACAAATGATTAATAGCAAGCTGAGGGAAAGTAAGGGGTGTATAACTCCATGATGTTAGACAAAATCTTAAAAAGTTCTCCGGAGGGTCTCCCAGTCATCAGACCAAAGAGCATGCCAAAGACTTGCAAATAATTTTTGCTCCTGCAGCATTCTCTGTGTGCTGATAACAAGATCTTAAGGGTCACCATGAGCAAATGTCATACGTGCAGCAAATGCATTATATTTTGAATTTTTGGTTTTGTATTTAAACTAAAAATAACAAATTTTAAGTTTTAAAAGCATTGTCCAACTTGCAAAAATTTAAGACAAATTAATGCTTTTTGCCTTCTGGACCAGGGTGAATCACCTCTTATGGTGACGTTCTTGTCTCCTTTCAAGTATACGCAGTAGAGAGTGTAGATTGCAGTGCCTCGCTTATGGCAAAGTTCATTGAGGCATCTGGGCCATCTGCTCACGCACTTTTATGAACCACCAACATTTGAAGTTCCAAATAGCTATGTCTGACAAAAAAAATCATCACGTGGTTTACATTAAAAAAATATGAGCAATATATTTCTGTGGATGAAGAATTGCAGATGTGTTTGTCAGCAAGTTTTTCCTGTATTGAACTTAAGTGCTAATGAAAACATTCACATTTCCCACAAAATTACAAAAATATTTTGATAAAACATTATAATTGACAAGATTTTAATACAAATATGTGGTCTTAGTTTCAAAGTTTAGTGGATTCATATTTTCCACATTAAAAAATTTTGTATGGCTTCCCAAAACAATGTTCTCTCAGAATTGGCTCTAAATTTTTTCTTTGACCTTTTGCACAAGTAGAACACAATACAATGGCATAAAAAAGTTCAGAGACACCTCAAAATATAGGTTTCTGTTCTGTTGTCATTGCTCTAACTATATTTTCTCAATTTCATAATTTCATTCATATTCTCCATTAAAAGCAGTCTTTTAATGAAAATTAAAAACACTTAAATGATGTTCTCAAAAGTTTTTTACCCCTAAAATTTACTGATGGAAGGAGGAGAGGTAGGAGGGTGCTCTTTCATTGTTCTTCAATGATGTTTGAATAATCTCATTTTCACTTATCTACTAAGGAGCTAAAAAATTATAAAAAGTACATAAAAATTTCTAAAGGAATAGAAGTTTGGAAATTCCTTTTGTTTGGAAACCAAAATGGGATGAAGACTTTGTGTTGTTCAATATTTTATGATGCTGGAGTTAGCTTCCTGATGAAAATACCAAAAGCAATCGTTTTTATTTGCAGCAAGCCAAGGAAAAGGGTGAAGTGAAAATTTTGGAGGAGTTTGTGCAGATTCAAGGCTTCAACCCATTTGATCAGGGTCAAGGGTTTCGACATCTTTGGTTGAAGGTCCTCAATTTACCCCCCAGGTGAGAGTTTTTGAATTAACTTGATTGCTAATTGAGCATTTGCTGTTCCACTCACAATTTTTATTTAAAATATCCTTGTATTTTGTTATAAAACTTTATTGCATTCTTTCCTTTCTTTCACCTATTTTGATTTGAATTTGTTTTCCAATTTTTTTTGTTGCAATTGTTTTTGTATATCAAAACATTTTATTTCCGTCTTGTCTATTTCTGTATTCTCAGTACTGCAATTCAGTCATATTTATTATAGACCTACTTTCGAAATTTCTATTCGAATTTTTCATTTCCTTTTTTAAGTATAATTTGTCAATTATCAAATTCTTAATAAATGTCAATCTAGTTATAAATGGTTTAGAAGAAATTCCAAAAAATTCAATCTAAGCCGCTGCAGAAATACATTATCGTTCTCTCAAAAATCATCAATTTTGGAGCTCAATGTAGACTTTATTTCACTAAAATTTGATAAATCTATTCACAGGTTTTGAAGGAATAAATAATTTTCTTCAGAACTATGATATAAAAACTCAAAATTTCCAACTTACAACTAAATTTGATTCATTTTAGAAAAAAGGGTATTTTCAAGCTTTTGATGTAATAAGCATGCAAGTGTGATTCCATTCTACCTAGTGACAGGTATTTTAGGAGAGGGCCCAAAAACATACACCCATGCAATGTGCGGGACATTTTCCTGCTTCATACGGACATAGAGATTTCAGTAAACCATAATCCAGAAGATGACATTCATAATGAAACAATCATATTTCCAGTCATTTTTTTGAAGCCATCTGAGAGTCATGTTTAATCATATTTTTGTTATGTATTATTTGGTCTTGTCATAAATTTTGACTAACCTCTTGCAGCACTGATTCTTCTTATTATCTTTCGTCTGCCTTTACATCCCACTTCCTTTCTTCTTTTCTTAAATGTTAGTCTTATTTTTTTCCTCTCTGGGATTTATGACATTTGTTTTCATTATTTTTGTGTTAAATTTTACGTATTTTCTTAATTAAAATTTTTTTGTCTAGAGCTACAATTACAGAAATTAAACACCATTTTGGTCATGATAGAGGAATTCTTAACATTGAATTGGATTTGGATTTTGGATCTTGCTTTATGCATGTTAACTCAGAATCAGCAATCCAGGTATGTTATCTGTGGTATATGTTATTGTAGTATCAAGGACTGGTGTCTATCTTTTATGTTTGTTAGAGTAAAATATCGGTTGTAAATTGTTTTGATGTGTAATTTGGGTATTAATGAAGTTCTCAAAGTTTTTTTAGTGTAGAGTATTATTGTTGGAATATTTTTAGTGTGCACTAAACATAATCTCAAACATTGTTTTGTATTTCTATATTGTGTAAGTACTTGTAAGTGATAGTATTAATGTGGAGGCACAAGTGCTAGTTTCCTAATACATAGTCAAAGTAGAATTGAATGACTAATATTTTTGAATATTGATGTTGTGTTCTCAGAGATGCCTTCAGATGCATCAGACATATTTGAGAGGCAAATGTCTTGCAGTCTTGATTGCTGAAGATCACCCTGATCGAGTTTATTACAGAGAAATGTCAAGAAGGGGCCGTCGACCCAATTACAGGAACAGCACTGGCAGGAAAAAAGCAGCAGCAAATAACTCCAATGCTGGTTTCAATGGAAAAACATTCACGTCTGCCACACAACCTCAGGGCAATCAAGATCGAAGAGGTTTTGAGCGAGGAGATAGGAAATTTTCAAAATCCAGATCTAATGCAAGTCACCCTAAAGAGTCTCCAAAACCTGTGAAAGAAGATGGAGATGGAGTTAAAATTGCCAACTCTCCTGCAGTGTAACACGTTCATATTTTCTAAGTCTGCTTTTATGTGGAATCGTGTTGAAGTTCTCTATGAAGATTTATTTTTTATAACAATGCTTATGTATGTTTCACTCACAGGTAAGCCTGTAATTGCATGTTGGGTCAAGTGTTTCAATGTCTTTCATAGAGAGAAAGGTTGTAAATTCCAGATTAGAATACCTGGTTAATTGAATTTGATCTGAACCTTTACCAAAATTTAAGATTAAATACTGTTCAAAGAATAAGTTAATTATTTTAAGTTTACTAATAAGAAAATTTTGCCTTATGTCTAGATTGTCATGAACTTTTATGTTGTTTTTCATTTTCGTGATTTGGGTACAAAAAATTCTTCAAAACATGTAAAAAAGAGGAGCAGAATAACGAAAACTTTTCTATGTAAAAATTTGCTGTTCCTTTTCTTAAACTTTTTGTGTGAGATAGATTAAGGGAATGAAATTTCTGTTAATTGTGCAATATTTTGTTTTTTTAATTTAGATAGTTTTTGTCTTGGAAACACTTGATATTTTTTAAAATACCAAGAGCAATGTAACACCTGTGAGTCTGATGTTTTGTGATATTAAAATTTACCTGGTGCCTCACATGGTAGCATTTCTTCTTTTTTCTTTTTTGAAAAGGGTTGTTTTCATAGCTTGTGATTTGATTCCATTTGTTCTAAAAGTATTTGTTGCCAGATTATCAATTTTGTATAGCTGAACCAAAACATTTTTTATGTTTACTTCCTCACCTATTAATGTGTACATATGTGATAAAGAGAAAGCATTAAAATGATGCAGCGAAAAGTGATTTTGTGGTAGAAAAATCCATATTGTGAGACCCTGATACCAAATAAGTGGATAGTTCTTGCTCCAGAACATAGAGAATTACATTTATTATACTCTATGATATCTTAATTGAATTCACATTTTGTGGTACTTAAAAACTAACATATGGCAAAACGTCTGTGGTGACGACACTAGAACATAAAACTAGAGGTTTTGCTCCAAAATTGATAAGTATGATTCTGATTGATTTGGCTAAACTCCCTGGAAATTTTAAATGGATATTTGAGTTTTGGGAGTAAAGTACATGAAGCAGGATAGCCAGCAAACATGAAACCTATGGAATTCTGGAAAGAACCAGAAAAAAGAAAATTCGCCAACCTTTAGCGCATTCACATGCGACATGGATTCTGTCGAGTGCGTGATTCCACTCAAGATTGTAATGGCGGGTGTAAAAACCGAAGCATCAAGCGAAACCCCATATGTATTCTTTAGGTCGACGAAGTCGTTGCATCTCGATACTCCGGTCTTAAACGTTGCCACGTGCGATGTTACAACGTGGGTGTAAATCGGTAGAATTGTGGGGCTCGTTAACTCGATTTCGAGTTAGCGCATGCGCAGAGGCTCAGAAATATAGTTAATTGCTGCCTGCTAAAACGTGCAAAAATTCCCTAGGGGTGGTAAAAAACATTGTTTTTGCAGAAACCTCATGATAAAAAAATAATTTACAGTCTACTTTTCTTGTGGATCAAAATCTATAGCCAACTGTTGTCGATCTCCAAACGCAAGAAACTACTATTCGTAACCTCTCTCCAGTGTTGGGGGATTTAATTTGGAGGGTAAATCGTTTGAGGTAACGCCCAATTAATGGAAGTATTTGTATGACTTAACGATCCTCTTCCGTTTCCATGGAAGTTGCCAATTAAGAGTGAAATTTTATCGAGTTAGGTCGCTGAGTTGCCTCCAGTGATCTCAACGTGTTCACTCATGGAAGCCAAGGCTCACTGTTTGCGACTGGCGAACTAACCATATGAGCATCTTTCCTCCCGCCGCCCGCGTTTCTGTCTTTGCAGTGCGCCTTCTGTTCTGTTTTACTTTCACCGAAGAGGAGAAGCTTCCGAATGAGGCAGAAACCGATACAACAGCGGCGGAATGGCGAAATGTTGAACATACCAAGAAAGTGATCACAGATTCTTAGGAGAAGGACGTTGTGATAGAAAACGACGTTGAAACGTTGAAGAGGTCATTAATAATTTAAAGTTTAAGTACTGTACGCGCAAGTTTTCTGATATTCCATAGTGTAGGTTTTGGGTACAGGAGGACTCTAGCTACGTCACTGCTTAAAAGGGCTTTAAAGGGCAACTTTGGGCACGAACTCAACGCGTCAAAGCGTGCCATGAGAAATGATTGTTTTAAAAATACGAGGTGGTGGTTGGCAGAACTGTAAATTGGTAGGTGCCGTACCGAGTCGAACCAAAGTATCTCAACGTGCCGTGCTATTCAGCGCTGGGTGAGAACCAGGGAGCTCGTGTATCAAGAAAACTTGCGCGAGTACTAGCTCGAGTGGGAGTGCTATAGACATTGCATGTGACAATGGCTCGGACGTGGTTGGTGTACTTCCCATCGACATATATTAGTGTAAGTGTTATATATGTAGAATAGGCCATAATATTTATTGAAGTTAGTGAAGAACGTAACGTTCGGTCATTCCAGAGGTAACTGCTGCTTCATGCAATGTGAGTATATGATTTGGTTACTTTTATAAGTATTTACTTGAAGTTACTTATTTTCTTGCCCGGATACACGTTTTCAGTGGCACACAATTAGTAACGTTGCTCCACTCCACTCGCAAATGCCAATCATCTACTTCTTTTACTCGGACTGTAAATACGGGGAGGGGGATTTGTTCAGAAAGTTTAACTTGATTACAATTTTAACAAAATATTTGTTTCTTATGAAACGCAAACGATTGACAAAACTGAATTTGCCGGTTCAATATCTGCTGTAGATACCACAAGATGGGCAGAGATAAAGTCGAAACTAATTATTTAAAATGAAATTGAATTATCAACGAATCACATCTGACACATTTAAGATATTCTTTCACTTGTAAGCCCAAAACAAAATGTATATTTTCTACTCTTATAAAATTATCTTGGGGTGCTAGATGTTTAGCATTTGAGTAAATGTTTTAAGATTCATGACTGACGTACTAAGAACAAGAAAAGACAACATGTAAATATTCATTTATCATAACCCTTAACTGGTCTGGCGGAGTCCGTGTGGATCCCAGGCAATAATAATCTCGTTAGTAACTAAAATAACAGATATGTTGCGCTCTGGTTTTCCTCGTTCAAGATCGAAAAGATCTTAAGTTTAAATATGTATTTGATATCGGACAGCACCTTTTATTTATTTAATTAATAAGATAATATAAAAAGTATATCCATTTTATTTTCGAACAATGTTGGCGTAAACGGGTTTAGAAGACAATGGAATAACTTGCATATTGTGTCATGTTTGTCATTAGAAACAAATTTTGGCATGCTTGTGAGACTACTAATTAATTAATGCTCTAATTAATTATACTAAAAATACTTTGTCAGAAGGCGAAAATTTGATGTCTCATGGATCCAAGCTCCGTACCTTGACATTTCTTTCAAACGAGCTATGGAATCAAACGCGATTCATGACAATTTACTTGCGTATTTGCCCTTAGTGATATGTTCAGTAATTAAAAAAATTACAATATAATCTAACCTCACCTAACATTTACATAAGGTTTTAATAAAATTACATGTGGAATTCGTATGGATTTCATTACGGTGTCATACATGTGCATTTTATTCAGTCTGATTACTTGGTGGTTTTTATATCTTTAATTGACTTAGATTTTACAGTCTATTACTTTGGCAACACCATTAAAATGATTACAAACGTACAGGAATTTCTTCCACTAGATTGTAGATAGGGCCAGGGATTCTATTACAATATGTTTATACATTCAGTAACTTGTCATTTGGACTTCACGCTTCTGTCTCCTCTTCCTGTTATGTAGTTCAGCTTACAAAAACTACATATCCCAATACAAAATTTGAAAATTATTTGTTAGTTTAAAACATATGTTCTGTCTTCCGACTTATCACATTTTCACTCAAATCATGATTAGAGGGGTAATAAAGAGGCAAGATTTGTAGGCTTAAATTCAACAAGGAGTACACATTTGTTGGGGATAGTAACAAGTTTTAATAAAAGAAAATCGTATTTATTGAGCTTATAATACCACCATTACTTTGCCTATTCATTTTTTGAATCATTGGTACTCTTGAACACTGACTTCCTCGATGATATTTTCTTGCAATACAGATCTCGTCTTCTCTGACTCCTCCAGTTATCCTTCTAATATTCAGGTTACAGAATCGAAGCAACTTATGACACCTGTCGTGAAAACAAATATATGATAAATCTAATGCAGAAACAACACATCCGAATTTCTCAATAATTATTTTAAATGCTATTAAAAAAAGACTTCTAAAACCTTTAAGCTGTATAAAATGTGCGAAATGATATAGTTAATGACACAATACTAGAGGGAAATGAATCAAGTTACGAACTAAACCCAATTCTCCCAGTAATAATAAATTAATTAGGGTTTTTAATTGAGCTGTACAACTGAAAAAATGTAATTATTTTATGAATTCGATAAATCAATTATATGCAACAGGCAGTTATTAATTTTACATTCAAATGCAGTAACTCAAATATTTCACTCACCTTCCCAGCTCGGAGGGAAACTTGAAGAAACGTTTCTCTTTTCTCTGCTGGACAGCGTTAGCACATCCTGGAAACCAACGCCTCCATCGTTATCTACATGCAACATTTGAGATAACAATATGCAACAGCAAATACACCAACGGAATGGCCCCCATAAATGGTTGCTTAGTTAGTGGGGATGGACCTGGGTAACACCCTCTGTTCTATTGCTCTCGTGGATGAAATCAGTTGTAGAAGAATCGTAAGATGCAGTAAATTCGCACATTTTTGTGAGCCACGGAATACCTACTCCCTCGCCTAAGCTAACATTAGTTGACTTCAGATAACAACGAGCCTTGTAGACAAAATCTAATAACCAGGAATGTTCGCTCCCGTTTAATAGAAACTATTTTGCATCGCAAAAGAAATTTCAAATTTGATACTCCCCACTCCTCTCGCAACTGGCGAAGCGAGGGCTCAAGAAAACGTGCGCAGACAGTACCGCTACCTGGCTGGCACATTACCAAAGTCGCGTTTGAAATTACGCATTTACCTTAAAATAGATTCCATCATGCGGAAAACACGATGGCGCACTCTCAAACAGTGAGAGTTTGCCCTCCTTTTATATTATATCCCTCCATGTTTTTGTATGTAAAGTCTTCACTGAATATTTGTGATTTTGTTTTGTTTTTTGAGAGGACGAATAGTTGAATTGTTGCTTCAGAAACAAGCTTGCTTTTCATAAATGAAATAATGTTATATTTTTACGGTATGTTAAATTATTGAAGATTCATCAAAAGTGATTTTGATGTGGAATAAAGTTTGTATAAAATAATACCTTGTACCAGAATGGAAAGGTTGGTATTTACGAGCTAACTTGATACTTTTCTTAATTATTTGCACTCCATTATGGATTTGTGATTTTTTGTGACATGTTCTAATGCCACGTGTGCTGCTGCGCCTGCCAGGAGAGGCCCAAAACATGGACGCTCTCCTGACACCCTCAGGGCGAGTCGCGTCCGCTACCTCTGTGGCCTGCTGCTTTGGACGATCCCCGTTGTGCAAGGGACAATGTGGACGTGGAACCCCTTTGATACAGTTGAGCCATGCTTTTTCTTCAATATCTATTCTACACGTTTATGCTGATAATAGGGCAAATTACTAAAGCTTGGATATGCAGATACTAAAAAAAGTCGAAAATAGGCAGGGAAATAGGTACTTAAATACTTAATCATCACAGGAAACCAATATGTTGAATTTGCAATGTTTCTT